AGTTTTGCCTTTTACTGGCAGGCTTGTACCTCCCGTTTCTTCTGTAGGGCCCCTTGTCTATGTTTCTGCAAACCAGTCTTGCATACTTTTCACTGTTTCTCTCTTTGTTTCTTTTTATCGCTGGTCCCCAGCTCTATCTTCTCAGCTAAGGGTTTATTTGAATCTAGTCACATAATGATCTAGCCTCAAACACTGGTGTTGGACCACAGAAATTTTATTACCAAACTCTCATCCGTTAGTCTCTTCTTTGAACATCCTCTTACTTTCACCATCACCCCCCAAAACACGGTTTTCCAAAAGTTTCTTTTCTTCCTGGAAATATCAACATCTTAACACTTCTGTCCCTAAGTGACTGCTCAAAGGCTCCTTACTGTCACACACCCTAAAAGGATGGCAATCTTCTTTAAAGTTCCTGAGTTACTCGTTTCTGTGAATTTAGCCACTGTTTTTGTCTCCAGTCAACTGAAATTTTAACAAGGGTATAAACACATGGAACACTATTATAGTATAGCTTCTACTTGTAATAGTTTCATTTTGATACCTTTAAAGCAAACAAATCCCTGAATTTGTCTCCAACAGGTTCTGTACTAGACTTTGCAGTCTATTTGGTATGATTAGCATGATTAGTTCAATTAAAGCCTAATGAATGAAGGAGGAAAATTGATAATCACTGAGTGAGCACTGTATATTATACACCAATGTGTGCATGTTTATTTGTATGTGTGATACTATTTCATGTCAAATGCTAACATCAAAATTATGAGGTATTGATCAGATACGCCACTTGATCTCTTAAAAAAATCGAACAATCAAACAATAACAACAAAAACCAAAACTAAGGCAATCAAACCCTAACAATGTCTTGCTCCCTTCCTGTCACAATATTCTCTATGTTCTTAAAGATGCATAGTTAAAATCTGCTGTTCAATAAGTTACCCAAAACATTTTTCTTCTGCTGCTAGCTGAGTTATCCACAGTCTTTTCTTTCTTCTCCTTTCCTTGGACAAGAATTAGACTTCTTTTCAAACTTTTGGGGGAAGATGAAAAAAGAAATGCATTTGAAAATAATAATAAAATACAAATGACAGGACAAACTATTGGGAAATATTCTATCATCCACCTAGTGTAAGATATTACGATGAATAAATTCGGGGTTCTTTCAGTGACAATGACAATGTTTATTCCTGTTGCTACTTATGTTCTCCAAGTTTTTTAAAGATGTATTTTAACTATTTAAAATGTGATGGTTTGAATTCACACCAACCTCTTTAGCTAGTTGATAACTTTTATGACTTCCTAGTGTTTTACGGAGAAATAACATAATTGCAATTATAAGCCTCTCACATTTTATAAACAAATTGAGTTCCAAGAGTACACTAGGTAGTTGTTTGGGGTCAGTGCATATTTTCCCACTGAGCTAATGTAAAAGGACAGCTATTTGCTCATGCTAGAATAGTCTTATTCTTCCTTCCCCATTCCTGTCTACAACTTCCAAAACAACAATCAAGAGGTAAATAAGTTAATAAAAAGTGAGTAAAGTAGGAGGTGGGAGCAGAAATCAGTTCATGCCATACTGATTCTATTTTACTGTACTATGGAAGTTCTGCACCATGGTGGGAATATGTATTCACAATTTAGGAGGGGATAATTCAATAGGAAAAGGCTGACTTGATGGGAAGAAAAGCCACCCTTAGCAGCCATTCACCAGTTCTCTGAACCTTCTTTATTTATAATTTAGAATCCTCATCTCCTACATTTCTATACTGACTGTAAAATAAAAGGATTATGTGAGAACCCCCATATTCTTTAGCAAGTTTGTGATGTGTGATATCTACTTCAGACATGTTAAAGTAAGCAGATTCTAGGAACAGCTTTGCATTAAAAAGCACTTCTACAGACCAACCTTTGAGATTCTTTAATAGTAATATTTTTGTCTTGTTTCTCTACTAATTTTAGTAATAAAAGCATTTTATATACCATGCTACATCTTTATTTTGAATTTATAGTAAGTGTGATATGATGTGTTTTGATATATACATGTTTTGTAGCATTTCAATCAAGTTAAACAATCTTAAACATTCATCATTTCTTCATGGTGAAAGCTTTTGACATGTCTTCTAAGAAGATATTCTAACACATGTGTATGTGTATGAATGTGTATGTAAGACAAAGTCATCCTCTAATATCTTATTTTATCGTTCTCTACTTTGGTTTGTTTATTTTGTAAGGGAAAGCCGCCCTTTCTAAACCTAGAGACCCCCAACCACGTTTTTTATGCTTCAAATGCCTGGCCAACAGGTCCTGGAAAACCTCTCGTCTCTAGTCTCTAGTGCAAGGCTTACTTACAATCATGTACCACCTAGCTCAGCATTTTACATGCGCTCTGAGAATCTGAAGTCAGCTCTTGTTCTCAGAAGGCAGCAGTTTACCCACTGAGCCCTCTCTCTAGACCCTTCTGTGTGACACACACACTTCACTATCCTTGTCTGCGGTGCCTGTGGTCTGTACGCCAGTCCCTCTTGGTCCAGTTTGCACTCAGTACCTACTGGTCAAGCTTTTCCTTTCTCCTACTTAATAGAGCTCCATTTTAAAAGTGATTTCACAATTTTAAAAGTTTCATTTTTATAACAAACATCGAATGTTCTTCCATTACATCCATTTTAAGGACAGACTACGAGAAACTGAGTTGTTAAGTTTGAGCAAACTCCTTTTAAGTTTTCCCACCCCAATTCCTGGGCCACTTTTGTCTTCTTTCTTCTACTTCTGTCCTTCTGTCAAAGTAATTAATTACTATAGATTTAAATTTAGTGAGAAGAGATAGAAGTATTAAAATTATGAAAAGAGTAATTAGGACACTACTTTAATTCTTTGAGCAATAATGTTATATGATTCCCCTGTTTGAAAGATAAGTTTTCAAGTTATCTTCTACATATAAGAGACAGCAGGACATGCGGCTAAAAACAAAAGCTCACTTCCACATGAAAAGCTAGATTGGACCTGATTTTCATCAGCCTTTAGTCTGCAGTCTTAATCTTGGTGGAAATTGAATGAAATAACGTAATTTAGGTGATGTGCTCTGTGTTGTCTTCCTAGTGTTTTCTCCCACCCCAGAGTCTAAAGATGGTTCTCTGGCTTCATAAGGAATCACACAGCTACACAACAGCAAATACATAAAAACCAGACAAGTTGCTCAAACTTAGCATTCAAAGGTCAGGTCTCAATGTAGGTTTTGAAGAGCTATCTTCCAGAATAAACAAAACGTCTTGAGTTAAGTTTTTAACTAATTCCAAAATTATATGACAGTGATTTTTGTATTGCTTCTTTTGCTTTAATTTAGTTTAGTTTTTGAAAATGAAAGCCATAGAGAATATAGCCTACAATCATCAGTGTTTGTGGTAGAATAAGATGTTACACTTCCCACCAGGTTTTGAGACACTAAATATAGAGTGTGGCTACTTGTTGGTAGTGCAGGTATTCCTTCAGAATTCTCAGGAAGGATAGAAAATGAAAGAAAGAGGAACAAGAGGTTAGGGGAGAAGAGAATAGCCAAACAGAGAGAGGAGAAACCCCCAGCTGTAGTTTATTGACCTTGTAATGCTTAGCCCCAATTAAAGTTTATGCTAAACATGAGAACTAATATTGACTGCCTAGCTACTTGCTGCATAAGTTGTATGCATGATAATATTTTATTGAACCCTTGCCTAAACCAGTTAAAGCAATCCCTGTCATCTTGCAGTAGTTCAAATAGCACTTTTCCATAGGCACAGAAATAAAACTCAACTCAGGAATGAAAGAGAGCTCTTTGAAATCTGGAGGCTTCCCACATTCCACCTTTGGGCTGGAAACCGTGTGTGTGTGTGTGTGTGTGTGTGTGTGTGTGTGTGTGTGTGTGTGTGTGTTGGACTATGGACACAGTGCAATAAAGAAAAAACATTTGTTTCATTATATGTACCATGGGTGCTTCCTTTTTCATCTGAATCCAGCAAACAACTTAGGAGCGTCAGTGGACAGTGGGAACACGAATAAAAATTGATGCAGAACAAAAGCACTTGGGATGAGGCCAAAAATACACTTGAAATGTCAAGCAAGTGTTTTGTTGCTTGTTTTTAACAGCTATTCTGAGTGCATTGTTACATGTATTTTCTCTTGCTTGTAGTTCAGTCCTAGCTTCATATGCCATTGCTCCAATTAGGAAATGGAGCAGAATTCAGACTTTAGTTACCACTTTCTAAAACAACAAGTAGCCCTGGAAGGTCACCATGGAAGCATCCCGAGTCATTTCAGACAGTAGCGTGGGACATGAGCACCCTTTAAGCCACTCCCCTCCCCAACACCCACCTCATCTTACAGATTTAGTAAAAGAGAGGAAAGAGATTGTTTACCTGCTTCTATTGAGGCTGAGGCCTGAAAGCCATGTGTAACCTTTGAAGCCCTTGTAATGGTTATAATCACAGGGATGGCATCTTTTTGACAGACAGAACAGAGAAAAGAGCCGAACCACTCTGGAAATATTAATGAGGCTATTTTGGAGCAATGGCTATTGCCTATGAGATCTCTCATCATGAGTCTATACTTAGAATTCAGATGAACCCTGGAGGGAGGGGAACCGGGCAGCGTTAATCCCCGGTTGTTTTGAAGTTGCCTGGTTAGCAGGTTCCTGTCTAAACTGTCCAAAATGGAAGCACTGAGTGTTTTCGGCGATGCGACTCTCTCTGTGTGTTTTGTTTTAACCTGTTTGTCATATGGACTGTCGCATCGCTCCGAGAGGTGACATTTCTCCCTTTTCTTTCAAACTGGATGTTCTTCTAGTGAGCGCTAGCTGTAATCAGTTTGGGAGACCGATGCTTCATGACAGCTAGAAGTTGGATTGAGTTTCAGGAGCTACTATATATAAAGCTGGGTCGACTTATGTCACCGCACTAATTAAATGCCATCTGGGTGGCTCCTCTGGGTTTTTGAGTCCATCACCCAGTTCAGATCAGTCAGAGGCCAAGGAGAACATGATGATGGACCTTTTTGAAACTGGCTCCTATTTCTTCTACTTAGATGGAGAAAATGTGACCTTGCAGCCATTAGAAGTGGCCGAGGGCTCTCCTTTGTATCCAGGGAGTGATGGTACCCTGTCCCCCTGCCAGGACCAACTGCCCCAGGAAGCCGGGAGCGACAGCAGTGGAGAGGAACACGTTCTGGCGCCCCCGGGCCTGCAACCTTCCCACTGCCCGGGACAGTGTCTGATCTGGGCTTGCAAGACTTGCAAGAGAAAATCTGCTCCCACAGATCGGCGGAAAGCTGCCACCCTGCGCGAAAGGAGGAGGCTAAAGAAAATCAACGAGGCCTTTGAGGCCCTGAAGCGTCGGACTGTGGCCAACCCCAACCAGAGGCTGCCCAAGGTAGAGATTCTGCGGAGCGCCATCATCTACATTGAGCGTCTGCAAGACTTGCTGCACCGGCTGGATCAGCAAGAGAAGATGCAGGAGCTGGGGGTGGACCCCTACAGCTACAGACCCAAGCAAGAAATTGTAAGCCCAGATGTTACCAGAGCAGGGAAGTGTAAAGACCGATTAAATGCCTTCGTGAGGCCTTAACCTCCACCTGCTTTGTGCCCACCCCTCCCCGCCCGGTTCCCTCTCTAATGAACCCCCAGTGACCCAAGAAGACCGAGCCCCTGCCCTAAGCAGGAAATGCGGTCCGGCCCAAGGAAGCAGGGGAGACACCCCCAAGCCGCCTCCTCCCCCGGAGTTTGTTTCTTTCCTAATCTGTTGCTTCGGTTTTCTTTCCAGCTTGAGGGTGCGGATTTCCTGCGCACCTGCAGCCCCCAGTGGCCAAGTGTTTCGGATCATTCCAGGGGGCTCGTGATAGCTACTAAGGAAGGTAATGTAAAGTAAAGGGCACTGGGCTGCACTGGAAGCATCCGGCTCAGCATAGGCCGAGCAGAAGCAGAGAGCGCTCAGCGCTCATCACGGGCTCAGAGATACACTGTCAGTGTCCAGAGCCTATTTTTTGTTTTGTTTTGTTTTGTTGTTTTGTTTTGTTTTGTTTTCTGCTCCCACGGACGCAGTCTTCCTGAGCCGCCTTTGTGGCCTTTTGTGGGACACAGCTGCACAGCTGCGGGTTGCTATAACGCTCTGTTTTTTTTTTTTTTTTTCTCACCCCTTGTACTTAGGAGGAGCAAGCGTGGATGCCTCAGCCACCAGCAGTCTCCAGTGCCTTTCTTCCATAGTGGACAGCATTTCCTCAGAGGAACGCAAACTCCCTAGTGTGGAGGAGGTGGTGGAGAAGTAACTCTGCCAGCATTTGGGACATTCTTCACTCAACAGAAAGACCTCTTATGGACTAATCATTTAGGTTAGGGCTCACGGACCCCAGAGTTTATGAAAGCGTATGAGACACACAAAGAACCCCTTAGCCACATCAACTGAAAGTCCTTTGCTCCTGGGCTTTTAATATGATTATTATAGATTCTTATTATTATTTGGAACCACTAGTGGCTTAGCTCTAGAACCCTAATTTTGTTTTTAATTTGGTTGGTTTTTTATAGCATCTTAACTTTTATTATGGTCACGTGATCCTTTGGTGTCGGTTGCAAATGAAGTTCATTCCTGTCTAAATCCAAGTGGGAACGTTCAATCCGAATGGTGTTTAATGAACTTTTATAAATAGTCTTAGTACTTTCGTTTTTATGCAAATCTAAAGACTATATTTTAAATGTGGAATTAAGCATTGTATATAAACTGTGTGAAGATTCTGGTATCGTAATATTAAAATATTAATACGTTTCTACATGTACAAAGAGGTGGCCTTAGTTTGATTTAACTAGAAAAAGAAAAATATGAGGGAATGCATACAAAACTAAAGAACAGCCATATTTGAACTTAGATAATACATGTGCCCAATTATTTGAGACTTTTCTCTCAGCCTAACTTAAAAGGAGGAAAATAAATGTTAGGGTGGTAGACTCAATTAAACTGAGCTCATTAATATTCCATGTAGATCCTGTACTTGTTTTTAATAGAAAGAACTATCCAGAAAGCATCCCTATTCTCCTATCTTTCTTTTCTTGTCTTTCACTTTTTCTTTTCTTATTATTCTATAGTTGGTAATAAGGGTGGGATTTGCTTACTCTGAAATTTAATTTTAAATGTCCTAAAATTTCTTCATTCATTTTTCTAGAAGAAGTTGAATGAATTCAACCCAAATTATTATATATTTTTTCTATTTTTTGGTGTTTTATGCTGTTTCCAAGTATAGATCTGAGGTACCCAAGGCCTATGTCTTGATAGCTGGTTTTCTTGAACTAGACTAGCCCCCAACAGACTGGAATATCTTCAAGTGCTCTTTGGCCTGAGTTTATTTTCCAAACAGAAAGATAAAAGAAAAGAACAATCTGTCTCTTGAAGAGGGGTGGGTGTCTTTGAAGGGGGTGGGGTTGCTTCAAGAGATGGAAGGGTTAAATGCTTGGGAGCTAACGATAACAACACACATGAAACCTCTTAGCTGGACCAAACAGCAAAGCCCCAGAGACCCGGAAGCCCCAGGAGCTCTACAACATGAAGATTTTACAACGTGTGCCGCGTCTGTTTATGTTGTAACCTCAGAGGAAGAGAAAAACGACCACCAAGAAACACAGCGGGACGTAAAGAGAAAGCATGCAGTCTCTACTAAACCGTGTCTTCTGTCTAACGCTCGAATTTTCAGTTTGTGACATTTGCATAAACATTGAGGTTCAGTCTCTCTAACCCAGAAACGTTTTGAGCATGTTTGTCAACAACAACAACAACAAAAAGTTTGGATTTTGAATCATTTTAGATTTTGGTTACTGCAGTTGGGTATACTTTTGTTCGACTAATTAATTTTCTGAGTATATGAAAACGTCTGGGTTCTTCTAAAATTCTTCAACATTCAGAAAGTTCGGTTGAGGTGACTGCCATTGGCACGTAATTCCTTTGGAAGCTTTGAGAGAGAGCAGGTGGCTGTGCTCCATACTTCTGGGTCTCTGTGAGGACGCTGTAAACCAAATCCAGGCTGCTCCTGTACAACCCGAGCCAACCCTTCTCCCATCTAGTGCCCATACCTTGTGTATGAAACAAAGGGAGGGAGGGTTCTCCCTGCCCTTGTGGGCTTGTGAAAATTCACCAAGACAGCACATGCTAAGTGTTGAGTCAAGAAGGCACAGACTGACACCCATACCAATGCTTTTTATTTTGTATTAGTAAATCTCAAATTGGCCAACAAGAGGTATATCACCCAACACCGCAGTTTCTTACTTTTGCTGGCTTTGGCTAGGGAGAATAATCATCCCGAGCAAAGAGGATGAGCTGTCCTTAGTTTTGTATTAATGTAATCCGACCATAACCAGAGAGAACGGCATTTGTTACTGCTACTTCAGAGGCTTCTTGGAGTGGAAACTTCTCATCTGGTGAGTATAAAGTCAGGACTCAAAAGCAGGGAAATATTAATAGCTGCAAGATTATGCCCTGGACTACTTTGTGTCCAGAAAGAGAAGCCTTGGAAAAGGGGCAAAGACATCTATAGTCTGTAGAATTATTTGGATCTCTTAGACAATTGTTTCTGAGTAGCTAGCTAGCAAACTCCAAATTATAGCATAACTTTCAAAAATAAATGCCAAAGCATTTACTAGTCATGGGTAGTATTTATTACCCAACCAAAATATGGGTAACTATATCTGGGTGGTCTCTGTCTTTACTAAGCATACATATGATATATCTATGAATTTTTTGAAAACCCAAGGATTTGCCCCCAAATGTGCTTCTATGCCAATATTTTCAAAAACTGAATTATTTGTGTAATTGGCATATCATAATTGATCAGGGAAACATATTTATCTTAGAATTACATTATTTACAATAAGATTTCTATCATGAACTATTCTGTAGCAGAATGTGTCTATCAGCTCATGGTCTTTTCTCGCTGATGGATGTTGTTGAGTCTTGGCAGACCAAATCCTGCCTCTCTCAGCTGGGTAACCTGAGAAACGTTTAGAGTGAGGTTGCCTATGGGAGCCTCTTCTTTAAATAGAGAAAATATTTTCCAAAGAGTTCATGTGACCTCCAGAGCTATAGATGATATGTTAGGGTTTCCAATGAAATCCTAGGTCTATTTGTGATTAAACTGTTTTTGTTTGATATTAATGATGATAATCTTTAACCGAGGCCAAAGCCAAAATAAACAGGGCTATAGGAGCAGAAAATTAAGACAGAATAGCTCAGTAAAGATAAGGACTCGGGGATTGAACTTAAATCTCTTTTAAGAGGTTCATACACTGCAATATATCAGATCATCAGTGGCTTTCTTTTATGCTATTACCGAAATAATTCATAGATATCAAATGTCAATAAGCTCTCTCTAGCTAGCTTTCATCATCATACCAGGATCATGGACTTCAAAGTCTGGACACTGGGTAAATTTGCTGATGTCAAATGATGTCAATTTTGTGCCAAACTCTTTCATGAGTTTTTTTGAGGGGAGGACGGAAATTTGGGGCTCTTAGCAGCTATTAAGAGGGGCAGGGAAAATCAGGATGCTTCTGGAAGCCACTTTCAAAATTATAAAGACATTGTTCTACCATTCACATTCTCCCTTTGGAAACATCTTCTTTCTTCATTCAGAGACCCTTCCTTTCATATATAGGCATAAAAAGTGCTTTTATAGATGATTTTAAATATCATGTATCTCATTGTCTGATCATTAGCAAGCAAGCAATAATAGCATGATATTTCCTTGCCCGAAATTCTCCATTCAGTTCCAAAAACAAATCAAGCCATTCCAAGATGATCCTTGGTACTAGAGAATTCTTTCTGCAAAAACAAGGTGTTTTGCAAGCCTGGTTACAAGTCATGCTGTGGAATGAAATGTCCCTGCCATGTGCCAGGGGGCATGTGCCAGGGGACAGGTTACCCTCTCTCCTTTCCTCTCAAGGCTGCTAAATGCCCTGATATAGTCCTTTGATCTCTCCTGGGAGTCTTCGAATTCAAGCAGAGGCCAATGTCTTCCTCAGATGTGTTGTCCACAAATTCTTCTTACAACTCTAGCAGGTACTAGTGTGTTGACATAGGTGTGCCCAGCTCCCAGAGCCGGGTACAACTTAAAACTGTTTAGCAGGTTGGGAAGACATGCACAAGAAGCAAAAGCAGAATTCTGCAGGTAGCGGCAGAAGCATGGGGAAAGACTCGTGTGTGTGTGTGTGTGTGTGTGTGTGTGTGTGTGTACACATGTATTATGTATATATGTGTGTCTTTGTGTCTCCACGTGTTCTTACATGAACCAAATATACATTTCCTACACTTTCCTCTTTAATTTGTCTGATTTTGTTTTCATTCAAATCACACACTCCCCCCCTCCCCATGGTCTGTCGTGTAAAAGAACAGCCCAGCCTTCTGAGTGGGGAGGGAGCCTTTCTCCTCTCTCGGGCGTGGGTTTTCTTCTTTTTGTGCAGACTGCCTCAGGGTTTTTGATCTCCCTCTGTTTTAGCTGCGGCTATGGCTTGAAAGTTTTTGCCTCATTTTTTTTATTCTTGTGTTCTGAGATCCGGTTTTCATCACTTGATTCCCATGGGCCTTCAACCCGGACCCTGTCTCCCCTCGGCAGGACTCATTAAGCAGCCGGCCGCTTGTGTTTTCCCCGGCTTCTTTAGTTCCACTCTGCCTGCTGCACTCTGGTAAATTTGTTTGGAGATCACCTTACCAGAGACAGCCTCTAACCTCTGAGAACTTCTGCTACTGACAGAAGCCCCTGAGTGACAGCCTCCTCCCAGCCCGGGAACCCAAGGAAAGACTCCAGTGTGTCCGACTTTGTACTTGTATGAGCTGAGGAAGGCCCTGAAAACTCAGGGAGAATGACTGTATGAAGCAAAAAAAGATTACCTCCGGGTGCTTGGTGCCATTTCTGAGGACAAAGAGACTCCTTCGAATGCCTTGTGGACAAGGTGAAATTACCCAGCCCTGGAGTTAAAGCTTACCTTTTGAAAATAAATAAATAAAATAAAACGACAGAATCCTTTCTGATATCGAGTGAATATGTAAAAGTGGTGAGGAGTAGTAAACCAGCCATTCCTGGCAGAGTCAAGGCGGTAGCTGTTAGGTATGTCCATGGAACACTGAGAGGGGTCCCTGGAAGGAGCTAGAAGACACGAAGGGAAGACTTCCTGGCTTCCACTTCAACTCTAAGGATCGAGTTGGCATCCCAATCACCACGTTGTTTTAGCTACTTTAAATACAAGAAAAAGGGAGGGAAGTAGGAAGGAAGAAAAGAAGACAAGGAGGAGA